CAAGAGAAACAGACAGGTAGGGAACGGGTAGTCCAAGAGAAACAGACTGGTAGTACAGGAATTTCCAGAGATCACTCACAAAGCAATCTTTCATTCTGTATATAGGCGAGAGTGATGGATCTTCATAGGAGTGTGGCGAGGGTAAAGCGTGTGGCACCACAGGTGGCCAAGATGTACAGGAGGAGAGGATGAGGAGTGGAATGGCAGCCTGATAAGGGACCTTTACTTACAGAACAGACAAACATTTCTAAGCGTGACTTGGTGACTCCAGGATGGTTTGTTGTCACCCGCCCCACCCCCCACCCACTGGTGCCAGCGTCAGGTATATTGCAGAACAACTGCTCGACTTTCTTCTGAGGAGGAGGCTGAAAGCCAGAGATCATAGTCCACATTGGTGTTTAGGACATAAGTAGGAAGGGAGATGTGGTCCCTTCAGTTGAAATTTAGGGATCTAGATAGGAAGTTTGTAAGCAAGTCCTCTAAAGTAATAATCTCTGGATCACTCCCAGTGCCATGTGCAAGTGAATACAGAAATAGGAGGATAAGAGAGATGAATGAGTGACTGGAAGGATGGTACAAGAGGAAAGGTTTATGGATTGGCTCTGGGAAGATGAAGTTAGTACAAGTGGATTAGTTGCAACTGAACAAAGACAGGACTGAGTTCCTTGTGGATTCTTTGCTCATGCTGTTGGGAAGGGTTTAAACTCACTCAGAGGCGTTGGAACCAGGAGTATATGAAAGAAACTAATACTTGGGTGTATGAAATGCTGGGAGACTTAGGTAACAGAGATGTAGGAGAGTTTTACAAGAATGGTTCAAAGGATGAGGCACTTCAGTTATGAGGAATAATTGGAGAAACTTGGACTGTTTTCCTTGGGGAGGAGGAGACAAAGAGGAGATTTCATTAATGTTTTCAAAATCATGAGGTATCTGGACAGAGCAGATACGGGGAATTTCATGAAAGGATCAAGAATCAGAGGGCACAGTTTTAAAGCAATTTGCAAAATAAGATTATGTGAGGTGAGAGGAAAAAAAACTTTTTCACACTGTAGTAACTAAGATATAGAATGTACTGCCTCGAAATGTGGTGGAGGCAAGTTTAAATAAGACCTTTAAGAGGGCATTGGCTGATTATTTAAATAGAAATAATGTGCAGGGTTAGGGGAAAAGGCAGGAAATTGGCACTAAGATAAAATGCTCAACCAGCCAGTGCAAGACACAATGACCCAAATGACCACCTTGTGCACTGTTACCACTCTGTGATTCTGAGTAAACAATGATGTCTCACATGTTTATGCAAGCATGTTGATATGTCATTCAAAAGTTAGACCACGTACGTATGCAGCTGTGAATACACTTTGGTACATAATGGTTAGTGGTGATAAATGCCTGAGTGGTTCCTCTATATCCACGCCCAGTTTCTTATGATACAAGGGATAACTTAAGCATTGCAGCATGAGGTAAAACACCAGGAAAAACACTATTTTGATGTAAAAGGTAATAGCCTTGTTAAGCACCAAGAAATGCCATTCAAAGAAATAAGATACATAGATGTGATGTTATGGTTTGGATACTTATTATTTCATCAAACTCTGTGTTTACAAGAAAGTAGTTTCCACAAACAGATTTGAGACTTTTATTATCACAACCTGCGCCCTGCATATTTACCATGTCTGAGATAGCACACTGGAATTTTGAGGCATCAAAAGAATACACGGGCTTTTAAAATGGCAGGTTGAACTCAAATTGTCAAGTTCCATCCCCATTTATGACAGGTCATATTTTTGATGGTAGAAAAAGGCTGGTAGGACAGAAACCCGAATATGGGAAGGCTATTTGAACTTAGTTCTGGGTTCAGACAGACCAGGCATTTTTGCTGGTCCGAGAGCTTTAATCTGCAATGTGGGAGTTACAAATTTATGGAGTAGATCCAAGTGCTCCCAAAGGGTGGATAAGGTTTAATTGTCTTTCATGATCTTAGTCCTTTTTTTTTATAAAGCATACCCTATATTTAAATTGTTAAAACAAAATCAGCTGCAGCCGCTAGAATTGTTAAAAAAAATCCCCTTGCTGAATTGTATTGATTGACAGGCCAACTGGTGTAGCATTTAATCAGGCAGTTTGGAAAGAGGTCTGCGGCAGCATTTTATCACCAATCTAGTTGGACATGATATAACACACCTCCACGGTGAGTGGGATTGGGGCACTACCATTGCACCATAATAACCCATGCCAAGTGTTCTTCGTTGATACAGCTCCAGGAGCTATACCTTAATGAATGCTTGATTCAGTTTCAAAAGCTACAGTTACGTCAGCTCTGAGTTCACAGCACCATGGATGGTTTAAATAGGCTATTAAGTGATTATGAGTTTGAACAGATTTTTTTTATTTTTAAGTAAGAGATTAACTACTTGAGGAGACTGATGCTTCCTTGATTTTTTTTCACTATGAACTTCGAGAGTGAAGAGATACATTAGATTTTTAGAAACTTATCTCATTCTGTCTATGCAGCTCCTGAGGTCTGGCCTTGACAAACTCTGGGTGAATACCTGTGAAGTTGGCATAGCGGGTATTGTGGGCCATGAGGTGGCATGAAGGGTATGAGAAGCCATGGGGGCAGGGATGAGGGTATATGGATAGTGTGAGCTAAAGGGCCTAAATTTTTCTAGAACAATGAGGATGAAAATTCCAAACAACTGAGCTGGGCCTTCTAAGAATGTCACCTTAGTATGTATCCACCCCTGTAACAGCCAATGCTCTGTTTTCAGGGTCAGTTGGTGAGATTTCATTCAGAGCTAGCTTGACTGAAAATCTTATGAATTTGGGAACTTTATAAACGAAGTAGGTCCAGTTAGTCAGGGAATTTCTCAACCAGAGCTACCTGCCTCAGTAGCTAAATTCTGTCAGAGTGTTTAAGATCAACAAACCTCCTAGCAGTTGCATAGCTTTCACTAGAAGTAAAATGTTCATGTCTTGCATGAAATGCAATACTGGCCAATAAGATAAAATAACTTGATAAATTCACTCACAGAAGCCAAATGAAGCAGCACAAAATTAGGAAGAACCTGGAAGGCAAATGGTATAAATGGCTGGTCTTATGGTCACCCTTCTGGTTGGATGCAAGAAAGCATGTTTGGGATTGATTTGTGCATTCCTATCGTGCAACTTTCAAAATAAACCTGAACAGCAAGGTTTTAAATGTAAAAAAAATCTAAAGTATAGTTAGAATAACACAAACAGAAAGAAGTGAGAATGTACAATTTGCAAATGGAAAAGGATACAGAGCAAGATGGTTTCTTTTAATAACATTTGTGCTAAACGATCAAACAGATGATCTGCAATATTAATGTTAGAAACATAGCATGACTAAAGTGGAAATCAATTGTGCAATATTTTAACTCACTGGTTATTGTGTTTGCACTAAATCCCCAGGTTATGAAATTTTAAGTAATTAGTGAATAAAATTCTATTATTCAGCAATTATGTTCATGCAGCATGCACAGAAAAGTGATATGAATCTGCAAAACTAATGCAGAAAATAATGAAAATGGGCTGATTCCCACATTACTCTAAGATAGCAGCTCATGTAATTTCACCAAGCTAGGGAGCCAAAAATCCCAGGAGTTTCTGTCATGCAGAGTTAAAATTGTCTTTATAATTGTCTCTAATTTTAAAATAACAATTAATTTTAATCTTTAGTTCATCTCATTGGACTTATAAGTTTACATTTTTTTAAGATGATTATTTGGCTTTACCACTTTGTAACCGCAATGAAACATTATTCTTTATATACAGCCACAGAGGCATAAAGACATACTGATGGAATAAAGTCACATGAGTTCTTAACATCTCAAAAGGTAATGAAGATAGGGTAGAGAGTGAAAGTTGACAGTTCGCCTGAGACATGGTAAGGGGTAGTTTGATAATTACCATCATTATTTGTATCCATCTGCCTGAAGATTTTATCTGTTCTTTTCTCTGGTGTTGCTTCATCCTCAGGCATCTTCATCACAGTGGACACCATCTTGTAGATTGCCTGTCCAAAATAAGAACATTCAATAAATGGGTCAAATGATGTTCATCTCCCAATATTGGTCCATACCTGTCTTCAGGTGGGACTTGAACCCAGAGCTTCTGTAGAGACAACTTCAGAAAATAAGAAAGAAAAGACAGACAGAAAAAAAATAAAGTAGCATTTTCAGGATATCTCAAAACATCTATAGTCAATTCCATACTTTAAGTGTAGCCACTATTGTAAAGTAGGAAATGCAGTAGCACAGCAAGCTCCCCCAGCTTCAATGTGATAATAAACAGATATTTTGCTCCAGCGATATTGATTGAGGAATATATTTTGGCCAGGTCAATGAGAATAACTCCCCTTCTCTTCGTCAAAGGAGTACCGTAGGATTTTTTATATCTACCCAAGGGGGCAGACAGGGTTTCAGTTTAATGTCTCATCCACAAAATGTCACCTACAAGAGCACAGAATATCTTCAGTATGGCAATGGAGTTGGTCTTGAGTCCACAAACTTCCGAATAAGTGGTGCATGTGCTTCCAACTGAGCATGGCTAACACCACAAAAACTAATTGGATGATTTTTCAATGTTAGGCAAACCATGTTCCTCATCTTCCAAATTCCAATATTTGTCTAACTAATGTGAAAGTGTTGAATGAAAATGAAAACAAAAATGCTATTTTTTTTTAAATGCATCTTTGATGTTTCTTGTGGATTACTCACAGCAGTCTCTGGAGATCATTTTTTTTTTAAATTCCTGAAAGGTTGACAGGCATAATTGAAGGGTTTCCCTGCAAAACCCAAAACAATGTGTTTCAAAGCACAGGAAATGACAAGTACATGGCTTCAGAACTATTGAACTGTAAAGCTCAATAAAGCATGACAACTTATAAAATCCTGGAAAGTAACTAAGACAGTAACTGAAAGTAAGATGTAAGATATGTGATTTATATGTCATCATTTATTTTAAACTTTGGATTTTGAACTAGTGGCATGTGGGGTTTGGTGTCTATGTATGAGGGGATTTAATGATGAACTTTTCAGTATTTCTGGATCCATGAGTTTTTTAAAGCAGTTTTAGAGAGGGGGTCCTTGGATGATAACGGGAATTTGTTTGCATTGGAACAGTCTTATGAGTGGGTAAAACACATATTAAAGAACGCTACCGTGTCCTCTGTTTGGAAGGATTTTGTTTTCCGTGCTTAGGAGAAAAACCCATAGCCCAGAAAACTTTTGGTTTTTTTTTCACTTTACAAAGGTCCTAGTGAAAGTTAGATACATGAAACAGTTTTACCTGAAGATAGGAGATAAGTGAGAACTTTTAGGAAATAGGTTACCTTAGGGTAAGGACTTCTGTTTGAAAGTTCGAAGAGAGAAATGTTTGTTTAGAGCCCTGAAAGGGTTATTCAAACTTGAGAAGCTTTATACTCAGTTGCGTGACTAATCAAGGATGAAGCTATGAAACTCTCAAAACCGGGATTTGGAAGAAACAGTTAAGTCAAATCTATTGATATTATATTTCATGTCTTTATCTTCCACTGGTGTTTGGGTACTGTAAAGTGATGGTGTTGGGATAGGTGGGAGTGTATTTTACTGTGCATTTTAAAATCTTTCAATTTGTGTTATATGTAGAGAGTTTGATTTATTCTATTTTATCTTCATTTCTTTTGCTTAATAAACTTCTCTTCGTGCCACTCTGAAATAGAGTATCTGTCTCTCTCTCGTGTAACAATCTTGTGTAGCTAAAAGAATACCTAAAAATGTTGAAATATATAGGATTTTTAAGAATGTTGACAGGATAAATGCTGAGAGGATGTTTCCCCTCCTGGGAGAGTCTAGGACCAGAGGTATCGCTCAGAATAAAAGGGTATCAATTTAAGACTGAGATGAGGAGGAATTTCTTTTCTCAGAGGGTTGAGAGTCTTTAGAACTCCTTGCCACAGAGAGCTGTGGGAGCAGAGTCCTTATGCGTATTTAAGGCTGAGATAGAGATTCTTATCAGTAGGGGAATCGAGGGTTATGGGGAAATGCAGAAAAGTGGATGAGAGAACTATCGGATTATCCATGATCCTATTGAATGGTGGAGCAGGCTTGACGGACTGAATGGCCTATTCCCATTCCTATTTCTTATGGTCTTAATACACCACACAATTCGACTTAATCTTCAAATTACTAAACTCTCCTACTCCTTTAGCTATATGGGTAGTTTCTGACCTTTACAATATAGATGGTCTAATTTTCATGTGCCTGATCTTCCCAGCAGGAATACAGCAAAATGCTGATAATAAAATCTGACTTCGGCAAGCTTTGATAATGGAAACTGGTGAACACAGGACACATCTTTATTAAATGCACCGAACAATATGTTCACTATCTGCATGGTGGCCAGAGTATTTTCTTACAAAGCTTGGAATAATGTTGGAGCTGAGAATTTAGGTATCTTGAAGAGGTAGCTTGTGAAAATTGGTGCACGAGTCCAGAATTTGAAGGGATGGGTTTCAAATCCTAAATTGTTCAGGCAAATTAATCCCTTCTCAACAACAGCGACACAGTCTTCTCTAATGATAAGTGTTGTTGAACCCATATTAGAACCACTCAAACTAGTTTTATATTGGCCTTAGGGTTGCTATGTCAAAAATTCTGAATTTAACCATATGCTCTTGTTCTCTTCTCTGTTTGTTTTGTTCCCATTTCTGTTGCAGTATTTGATTACATTCCTTTCCACTTGCTGGAGCAAGTGGGGCTTGAACCCAGACCCGCTGACCAAAAGATAAGGACACTACCGCTGTGCCGGAAGAACCTGAGCAGTTGCATTGTAGAAACTTTTAATTAACTTGCTCAGATATGCTATGACATTACCACAGTGCGACAAGATCCCTTAAGTTGTTATTTGAATCAATCCGATTTGGATAATGTTATGACATATACAGAGAATGCTGGAGAAACTCAGCAGGTCTGGCAGCATCTGTAGAGAGAGAAACAGGGTTAACATTTTGAGTTGCGTGTGACTTCTTCTGAACTATAAGATGTTGCAAAATTTTTTTTAAAAATACTTTTGATGGAGGTGGCAGGGGGAACAGATAGTGTAGATGTTCAGTGCAAAAGTCAAAGGGGTTGTTAATGGTAGTTAAAGGGAAAAGGAGATGTAAAGTGGATGTGAAATAAGGTGTGAAAGTGAGAAAATTGGTCCTCTGTACTGGGACAGAATGAAAAAAAGACAATGCTGTTGGTTGGGTGGCGGAGTGGGGGGGTGGGATTGAAAGGAAGCAAAGAGACAGCAAGCAAAAAAAAATGGAGAACAGACATAATGCAGTCAGTTTTTGAAGTTATGGAAGACAATATTGGGACCTCAAGACTATAAAATGTCTAAGTGAAAAATGAAGCATTGGTCCTCGAGCTTGTGTTGAGTTCCATTGCACCAGGCCCAAGATAGAAATGTTAGCATGAGAACAAGGTGATTTATCAAAATGACAAACAACTGGGAGGTCAGGGTCATTCCGATGAACAGAGTAGAGGTATTATCTGTTACCTAGTCTGTGTTTGGTCATGCTAATACAAAGGAGACTTCATTGTGAGCAGTAAATACAGTAGACAAGATTGAAGGAAGTACAAGTAAAATGCTGCTTCACCTGGAAGTCATGTTTGGTACCTTGAACAGTGAGGGAAGAGTGAATATGAATGGGCAGGTGTTATACTTTCTGCGTTTGTATGGGAAGGTGCCATGTGGGAGTGAGAAAGTGATGGGAGAAAGGATCAGGGTGTCACAGAGGGAATAGCCCCTGCAAAATATTGTCATGGAGAAGAGGACAAGATGTATTTGGTGGTGGCAGCCCGTTAGAAGTGGCAGAAACGGCAGGGGATGATCCTTTGAATTTGGAGACTGATGGGGTGGAAAGTGAGGACAATGGGAACTTTATCATTGCTCTGGGAGGGAGGGGAATGGGAAGGGATGAGGGCAGAATTGAGAGAGATTGGTCAGACACAGCTGAAGGCCCTGTCATCGATGGTGGTGGGAAATCCTTGGTTGTGGAATATGAAGGACGCGTCTGGTGGCAGGTGGCACTGGCAGAATAGATGCAATGGAGACAAAGAAACTGGGAGATGGGGACGAAATCCTTGCATGAAGCAGGGACTGGGGAAGTGTAGTCAAGGTAACTGTTGGAATCAGTGGATATTGATGGACAGTTAATCCTCAGAAATGGAAATGGTGAAATCATAAAAGGGAGGGGAAGAGTTAAAGATGGATCAGGTGAAGGTGAAAGGAAGAAGTTGGAAGCAAAACTGATGAAGGTTCCCAAATCCAGACGGGAGCAGGAAGCAACAGCAAAGATATTAACAATGTGTTGGAGAAAAAGTGTTGCCGGTGGTGGGCTCCGAATATGACAGGCACAAGGAGAATTCCACATAACCAGCAAGGACATGTGTCATGACAAATGTTTGGGGCAGATGAAAATTGCCACCTCCCATTCCCCCAGCCCAGAGGTAGGGACACCACCACTGAGCCACAAGACTTCTTTAAAGCACACCCTTCTTTATGTACAGCCAATCACACAGAGTTCAGCTAAAAATGTTACTGGAGGGGATAATAGACCCCAGAAAAAAATTCAGCTCAATTTTGTTTTAAAAATCTACCTGTTCAAACATGTTATAACTCTGAAGATAGTGGGACCCGAACCCAAGCCTTCTGGCCCAGAGGTAAGGACACTACCGCTGTGCCACAAGAGTCCTAAAAGCAGTTACATTGTAAACCTATTGCAATAAGTAAGCACAGCAAATATCTGGTTTCCTGTATCCAAACATTGAAACATTTTTGCTGCAGGTGGAGATAGTCGCTCAACTATTCTCAGCCAAAATGGAGTAATCTCCATCAACTACATCTGGGGATCACATTGCTGGTTTCACACATACACAGTCTATATTATGCAGTTATCTGCCACTGCAATTTTTTGCAGAATAATTAAAACAGAAAGCGTTGGAGAACATGGCAGGTCTGGCAGCATCTGTGGAGAGAGAAATGAAG